GAGCTGCTCGTTAGTACGCGAAACCGATGGAGTTGATGGGCTGTTCGGGTAACAAGGCTGGCCTAGATCGAGGAACCAGCCAGCGATGCCGCGAAGCAGCTTCGACTCGCCTTTCGAACACGCAAACGACTTTCCTCCCGTGTCAGTTCGTCCGCGATATCGTTACCGATATACGTAGACGTTTGACAAGATTCGAAAAGGAACCTGCGATTGAACTGATCAACAGGGACAGGCGAATAGAAGACCATTAGGAAGACTAAAAAGAAAAGGGGCAGGATTAGGTGGAAGAGAAAATTGTTGAAATCGTGAGGACAGAAATCGCGTTTGATGGGGGTGTTTAACGGTGAGACGATCAGACTATCGTTGGGATCTGGGTTAAAGGAAAGAGTAGGTGTTCTCTGATTGCTCGTTTCGCTTTATCCATCCCCGTAATCTCAAGGCGAGATTGCCACGATCGTTCTTCTAATATCTTCACGAAGAGAACGATTTTCTCGCGCTTCGCTGTTTCACTCGTTTCCAAAATGCCAGGATTCTCAATTCTTAATTCTGAATTCTCCTTTTCTTTCAACGATAGCGCAGAGTATAATAAGCTAAAAATTAATGCAAACTGTAATTTTAAAAGTACTATAAGCGAGCGCTCTCATTTTTAATGGAATACTATCGCGCAGAGTTGAAAAGAAGCGGAGTAGGACGAATGCAAATTCATTTCTTATCCTAATGGATTGAACTCGCCTCAATCTCACACGCAATTTTCATTGTAGAGTATTATTGGTCGAAGCGGACTCACATCTACTAATTGCGCCCATTTCAAGCATACAATGTGGATTCTTATCCATCAATGAAATATTCAAATATGCCTAAATATAAAATATCCAAACTAAAGTAGCTGTTATTGTATTAAACGAGTGGAGCGAAATCAGATTCCATTTTCTTGCTTATATTCACGAGCGTTGCAGGCTGCTCTGATCAGTTACTTCCATGCCATCTCGCTATTCTTCTCTCCAGCTTTTTTCCACATAGTGCGTATGTAAATCCCGCTAGATTTCGGTGTTCACAGAAAAATTTTAATTTCTGTTTTCTAAATTCCAATTCTAAATTCTGGCAGTCTCCAGCTAGTTAGTCTCGAAAGGTTTAAGCAATAACTAATTCGACGCTAAAACCAAAGAGAACGAACAGAAGATATCCCTTCTGAGGCGGATATATCGCGTTGTTTTTCCGCTTTGGAGTTGCGCGGACGCGTCCTTATATACAAAAGCGCCTGTGCGATGCAGAAGGAGCCCCGTTGATGGCAGTGCTTGTGGTTTAGGAGGTTTGACGTAGGAGGGTACGATGTTTTCCATAGGCCGTCTGTCGAGGGCACCCCCTGCGGATTAAATGGAACCTAACCCTACACGTATTGATCCAATAACATGGGTGCTGGATACACAAACCGAGGGAGAAAACTCTGGGAGGAATATCGCGAGGGCCAGTTGGCGGAAGACTGTGGAAGAGAAAAAAGAAAAAAGAAAACAATAGTACCGTTCGATCGACCGAATTAGGCGAGTAATGTTCGTCGCAACACTCCTACGACTTTTCTACATTTATACGTTAGACAGCGAAGATGTAAGGGAAAATTGAGAATATTTTTTCTTGTTTCTCTTGTTTCTCAATATGTTTTATCTGAAGTTAGGAAACAGCGAAGGGGGAAATCTAAAAGAATTCTATCGGAGAAGGAAAATTTGAACATAGACTTAATCACAACCGAGGGCCGGTTTTACTCTTATTTTTGATATATCGCGTTTAGTTTATCCTGGAGATACGTTGCCGCTTCGTTTCTAAACGATACCTGTTATTCTAGTCCACAACGATAGTCCAATAGCTACGAAGTAAAGTAAGATCGTGAAACGAAGAACTACACTTTAAGAACCGAGTGTAAAGTACTCGGGTGGGCGAATACTTTTCCGATCAATCGCAATTATCTTTATCCGTGCAATCACAAATACAAAGTGTAGAGTGATGGACGTTTATCTATGAACGTTTACCTACGTGTTCTAGGCATCTGCGATTTATAATGCATAGAGTGTGACTATAATCGTGTACGGTCGTTTAGTCGTACACCTGACCCGATAGATCACGTACACAAGCACGTTCAGCAGAACGTACGTGTGCGTGTGTACGTACTTACGTACGCAACACGAGTACGAAAGAAGAGTGGCGAGGGTTCGGCCCTAATCGACGTATCCCCCTTGAGAAGCTCTCGCTACGAAGACTTTAAAGCCAACTTATTTCCATCCGGTCTCACCGTGTCACCGACGACACCCGCTGACGACGTGTTTCGTGTTAATTGCGTACCTTAATTAAAATTAATATCGTCCAAATTAAAATTAATTGAGCCGCTCTCTCGGTCGTTCTTTAAAAGAAGGAAAAAGAAAAAAGGAGAAGAGAGATAGCGGTAAATTGAAACGAACCGAGTGTAGGGGTTGTTTCGTGACGCGTAACATTTAATCCTTTCGATCACGGCACAGTGCAATTATTTTAATGGACGTTTATGCGTGTAACTTGCAAATGAGTCACCTCTTGTTGTCGCTGGCCGATCGTTCCGACCAACTTTTCTTCTTCCTTATATCCTTGATCCTTGATAATCGCTCTTTCGAGGATAATATTTCGTAGAATCGAACCGGGGAAAACTATTGTCGAACGTTTGACCGTTATTGGCGCGAATCGAGACGTCAGATAAGTCAGAGAAATTGTTCTGGGTCAGGAAATCGAAGCATCGAGGTAGATTCGTGATTGAAACAACTTTGTTTCGATTTATTGAACATTCACCCCCGTTACTATTATTCGTACATAATCTAGTACATTCGTGAATTTTTTAAGAACCGATTATAACGTTGAATTCGTCTCGACGAGACTAGTTTCTGCGTGGTAAGATCGTTCTTGCCAGCGATAGTTATAAAAGATATAATACAATCTACGTGTGCAGTTCTATGATACGCAAAAGGCAGTGATACTTAACATATAGAGTTACGGTAACGTGTTTGCATCGCTTAACTGCATATAGGTCATTTGCAACGCGCAATACATGCAAATTGCGCGTTGTATGTTGCCACGGGATTCTGTTCGCTCGCCTTTCTCCTATGGATATTTTGTTTCTCAAAACGCGTCACGAACCATCGTAAAGCTTAAGGGAACACGCGTATACTTCGATTCTAACAAAATCGATCAAAATGTTGCCTCGCGCCGGTACGTGTAAACACACATAAAGAGCGAGAAAGAGAGAAAGAGAGAGAGAGAGAGAGAAATATATGCGGACGAGCGCGTGCGCACGTTTGTAAATAGATACGTGTATCCATGTACATAATATCAAGCGGAGTATACAACGAGTATCTAGAGCGAAGACGAAACAGTTTTTCGGCTAAAGCTATACTCTGTCTCCGTCATTTATATACATACATATATATATATACTACATATATGTATACGTATACATATACGCGTAAAAATATCAAAGATATAATACATAGATCTCTAAGACGGATTGTATCTAATCTATAACAATGTCTACACAACAACGACATCTGCGCGTAACGGTGCGTACTCTAGGCTCTACACATCTATGGGGGTTTCTCTTGTCTAAGGTGTCTCTCACGGGGATGAACATGGCGGAGCGTATTCGGTTTTTCCAATGTTCTTCTTGCTGCTCCCGCTGATTGTCATAGACGTGTATGTGTGTGTAGACGCTTCTATATCTCGATGGTAGGTTTCTCGTACGATTCTTGAAAAGGATATCAGAACGTACACAATGTTCGAACAACCGGCTAAACACAGACGCGTTCTTCGACAACGACGACGACGACGACGACGATAGCTGCCGTAACGAACGGGGATAACCTGCAGCTTTCGTTTCCCCTTTTCCGTGCCCGCTCCCTCTACCACGTTTTCCTCACGATCAAACGTGTCGCCGCCTAGCGGCTGTGCCCTCTACCAACCGACAGGAAGGTTAAATGACAGCCCACCCCATTCACCCGGCATACTACCACACCATCACCGTCACCACCAGCACTAGTAACCACCATAGGTTCTACCATCTCCACGTGCATCTACGAGACCAGAGCACGACCACCAATACTGTCACCACCACCATCACCACCAACACCACAACCACCGCCGCATCACCACCACCACTACCACCACCACCGCCACCTCCATCACCGGTGAAATCCAACTCCAACCCAACGACTACCTTCGCAAGCCTCCTCCTCTCTCGAATCGCAAACGTGCCGCGCCCGTTAATTCAACGGCTAATCAATTCTTACCGCGATTTCTGCATGCCCTAACCTACGCTCGGCCTCTTTTCCATCTTCCACAGCCCCTTCTCTTGTCTCTCTCCTTTCTTTGCCGGAGTCTTGGAACGTCCGAGGAGATTCGTTCTTTCGAATCGATTAAATTTTACAGAATCGAACAGGATTACGTTGAAATTACGACAACGCGGTGGTTGCAAGGGGTAGCCGAAGTACAGAGTTACTAATAGGATGCGATGTAGGGAACCCCGTAACATCCAGCCGCTAGAGTAGAACGAGACGGTGAATGATGTAACGAGCGTCGCGTGCCATCGATAATTACAGAGACGCGTATTCCTGTCTAGGTGGAAGATTCCCGCCCTTTTCTCCCTTTAACAACTACTCCCCCTATCGTATTTTTGTACTTAAACGACGTTGTCGATGTACCGTGTGTACAGTGATTACCAGCGAAACTCTGAAACAATGAAATCGATTCGATTCGATCCAGCCGGACCAGAAATTTCCAGCGAACGTTAACGTTTCGTGATCGCGGCCTGAGACTCGTCAACGAAGAACAACGAGCCTCGTGAATAGCTTCGAAGATCTGCCGATTCGATGAGTTCACCAGATTGTGCCATAGCTCGTTGTTTATAACGTCTGATGAATCGTTGGCGATGAGAGTGGGCGAATCGGTGGCGAGATCGTATTGCGCGTGATGACGAGAAAAGCAATGGAAATTACTTGAGTTTAGGCAAAAAACTAGGGTCGAACGTGAGTTACGAGCATATCCGTGTACGTCATTCGGACACCGATCGAACGTCGCCGCTAGTAGAAACTCTGATCGAAACTGGGGAAACCAAGCAACCTAGAGGGGAGTCGATTAGAGGAAGAGAGGGAGGGGCGAGTGGAGGGAAAGAGAAGGCGTACGATCGACCTAAACCCGACGTTAACCTTTTCATCGACCCCGTTCGAGTTCTTCACTGCCCCGTCGTGGCGCCGCTTTAATTCGGTACACTGCGTCGAGGATGGAAACAAGCCTGATTCATTATTCAATAAACGACCGCAGATATTTCGGGGTTGAAACCACGGAAGATACTATGTGTGGACTACTCCACCCCGGAACTAGGCCAAGTGGACGAGCTCGTCAACTGTTCGATCGCGATAATGCGTCGACGATTCTGTTACGAGAACGGATGCGTGTAACCACTTTGTTACGTATCCGCGAGAATGGAAAGAATTGCCTTTATTCATCGACGTGTGGCGTGGTCGAAACGAATCCATAGGTTCGATTCGATTGTTCGAAGAAATATACTTTTCACGAAATCCCTTAGATTCCGAGAACCACCCTTACGGGGATAGGAAAGTGGAATCCATCGAAGAAAATAAGTCGGGGCCACGGATGATCGCTGGTTCGCGAAGAAAACACACCTGAAACGTTCTGACATCGCCATCTTGCCAATTCAGACATCACGATACGATTCCATTCAGAATCCATTCTACGGTCCACCGGTGCCAGTGATTTTAACGTTTTGGGAACAGTATGGACAGAATGGACAGATCTGACGACTTTCTTGTTCGTGGAAGGGGAACGAGCGATTATATCGAATGGAAGCTTCGTCTGTTTTTTTTCTCTCTCTTTTTTTTAGTCGAACTTAAACGAAGAATTCCTCTTTCGTTCGTTCTCGCTTCTTTCCATGAACCGAGAAGAAAGTCGTTCGATGAACCATCGTAGCCGCACCTTCCGGAAGCTGCCTTATCGACCGGAAACGCCGTGATATCCACGCTGGCAAGAATTAAGAGACACCTTGGCAGAGCCTTCGCCCGTTACGGTCACCTGTCGAGGGACGCGGAGTTACTCTAATCTTTCACGAAGATAACGCTCGAGATTCGAAAGACGAAAGTTCACGAAATTTACGGAGCTTCTTTCGCCTCTTCTTCTTGTTTCGTGTTCCCTGTCCTCCGATACCTGCAAATATCCCATGAACTCTATCGTTCTTATTTGTTCCGCTTCTCCACCTTTGCAAATCTATCACGAAACACAAAGAGACCGCCAACACTTTTGTCGGAGTTCCTTCCACTTTGGAATCCAGAGAACACTGGAACGGATGAGACTGCGTTCGACGATGGCCACGAGACGAGGACAATGTCCCATCACACCAGTAACTCTTTAAAGGCGTACTGCTGTGACAAGACAATATCCCCGGCGAGTGGTTGAGTGGTTCGAGTCCTTTCAGCCGGAGAGATCCTACTTCCTTCGACATCCTCGAGATCCGCGATTCGATCGGGATTTGGCGCGATTCGCTGTTCGCGATGCAACCCGCGAGCGTCCGAGCGTCTTCGATATATTTCGCACGCTAGATCGATAGCGGAGGAATGATTCGCGCGAAGATCGTCGATCGTTCTCGCGATACATGACGACGATGATAGAGGCAGGAACGGAAGATGCCGAAGGTGGCGACTGGTGGTGTTATGCTTTGGTGTCGTTTCGCCGATGGCGGCGTCTTCGTTCTCGCTTCTTTCCATGAACCGAGAAGAAAGTCGTTCGATGAACCATCGTAGCCGCACCTTCCGGAAGCTGCCTTATCGACCGGAAACGCCGTGATATCCACGCTGGCAAGAATTAAGAGACACCTTGGCAGAGCCTTCGCCCGTTACGGTCACCTGTCGAGGGACGCGGAGTTACTCTAATCTTTCACGAAGATAACGCTCGAGATTCGAAAGACGAAAGTTCACGAAATTTACGGAGCTTCTTTCGCCTCTTCTTCTTGTTTCGTGTTCCCTGTCCTCCGATACCTGCAAATATCCCATGAACTCTATCGTTCTTATTTGTTCCGCTTCTCCACCTTTGCAAATCTATCACGAAACACAAAGAGACCGCCAACACTTTTGTCGGAGTTCCTTCCACTTTGGAATCCAGAGAACACTGGAACGGATGAGACTGCGTTCGACGATGGCCACGAGACGAGGACAATGTCCCATCACACCAGTAACTCTTTAAAGGCGTACTGCTGTGACAAGACAATATCCCCGGCGAGTGGTTGAGTGGTTCGAGTCCTTTCAGCCGGAGAGATCCTACTTCCTTCGACATCCTCGAGATCCGCGATTCGATCGGGATTTGGCGCGATTCGCTGTTCGCGATGCAACCCGCGAGCGTCCGAGCGTCTTCGATATATTTCGCACGCTAGATCGATAGCGGAGGAATGATTCGCGCGAAGATCGTCGATCGTTCTCGCGATACATGACGACGATGATAGAGGCAGGAACGGAAGATGCCGAAGGTGGCGACTGGTGGTGTTATGCTTTGGTGTCGTTTCGCCGATGGCGGCGTCGATTCGACTCTTGCGAAGGCGGTATCGCTCGGTCGAGCGTCTCGACGGTACTGCATCGCTCGCTGGCGACGGTGCCTCCGCACCCTGTCCCTCCCCCACCCGAGGGAGCTTCTCCTCCAGCTTCGTAGTCCCACCAACAGCGGTAAAGCACCCTCTCCTCGCCGGTTCGAGCCCCTTGGCGGGCCACCGAGGGTGGAAGGGTGAAAGGGTAGCTGGTGCGCGCCTGTCTAACCGCGCATATTCCGCGTGCGACCGAGTACAGGCTCGAGGGAGACTCGGAGAGAACAAGAGGGAGAAAGAGAGAGAAGTGCGCGGCCAGCCCGAACAAGGGCGGCAGAGAATGGGAGGAAAGTAACCCTCGATGTTGCCGAGGGCCATCAGGGGGACGACGACTACGCGCAGCCATAGCCTGCTGCTTACCGATACTGGAAATACTGAAACCGTTCTCGCGTATCCAGCAGCTTGACTCTCTCCGTCTCCCCTGGCCCGTTATCCTCGCTTCCTGTTACACCTCGCGTTTCGGCCTGTCGCAAAACGATCGGGGTCATGACTGGAACGCGCTAACACCGCGCTTCGACCACCAGTTGTGCCACGACGTCGACTAGAAATGTTTAATCGTTGAGGAATTCCCTCGTGTCTATCGTAAACGCGTTGAGATAGATGGAGAAGAGGTCACCGGTAACGATCGATTTTCCAATCTTTGAATACTTGCTTGGAATTGGACACGCGGCCGAAAGAATCGCGAATATATGGAGAAATGAAACTACGAAACTTGGTAAAGTTTGCGACAGTTTCTTGTATCGGAAGGTTCCTTCGATCGCGAACAATGAAGTCGAATGACAACGGAGATAGTTGCACGTGGAGAGTCGAGCTTCACCGGGATACGTAACGTAAATCGCATTGTATGCGAAGAATGGGCCGAAATAATTACGCGATGTTATAATAGGACAGTGTATCGTTCGAATCTCACGTAACGCAGGGTTTCAACCAGTTACGTTCCTGTCTGCCTGTTGGATCTAAATTTAGGCGTCTTTCTTAGGCGAACGAGTTCGATCGGTTGGATGGCTGGAAGTCTGATTTCGTGATTGACCTTCCTCCCCGCTCTCTTCTGCCAATTGCGAAGACTACGCTCGAAAGGAGCTCGAAGGAATCTAACGTATCGAAAAGAAAGTAAATCGATGAAAGAACGGATCTTGAGAAATTTCAGTAGAGTAGAAGAAAGGAATCGTCTAGTTGGTTAAAGGACGCGGATTCGGACGCGATGAGAATGAAATGACCGGAAGAAGGCGCGGAAGAAAAAGCCGGCTAATGCGGAATGGCACGTGAGAGAGACGAGTTTACGCGAAAATTAGGCGGCGAACGAGAAAAAGCAGCGTCGCATCTCTCGATAGACGTACCGCAGGGGTGGAACATTGCGAAAGGGAGAGAGAAGTACGAAGGGGCGTATTGATCCACCAGCTGCGCGTTCTCTCACCCTCCACTCCCGCTCTCTATCCATCCTAGCGTCCCCCACTGGCCGACTCCCTCGCCCCGAATGGCTCGCCCCGTTTCACTTTGCTCTTTCCCTCCCCTCTTTCTCTCGTTTCGCTCTTTCTCTTTCTACCCTGTTCGTCCACAGTGACGGGAACGATCCGCTCACGACCGCCATCGACCGACAAAACTTTCGTTCGAGTACTCCTCGCAGCTTCCTTCCAGTTTAACCAACGGTCAACTCGAATCATTTTCTTCTTGCTTGCCAAGACAATCTCCATGAATCGTGACTCATTCCCGAATCGACAAATCTTAAAGCCGAAAATATCTAAAGATATATGAAAATTTTACTCTTCGAATTGCCCTGATGATTCTCCTCTGGAGAACTACGACAGGTTACATTTGTTTCTGCTGCCCTCCGGTCCGCCAGAGATACGGCAACCGCGAATCCAGATGGGTTCGGGATAATTGATAAATTATTTGGATGCGCGCGGAATCGAAGCCACCGCTAGTCGCCGTTCTTCCTGCCCCTCTTCCTTTCGTCCCTTGTCTTCCATCTCTCTCGCACCCCGCAACCGTTACGAAGGTTATCTCCTTTTCTCGCCAACCATTCTCTCCCTTTGCCCCTGTTAGGTTGTGGGTGCACGTACACGCGCACATCAACATCCCTTCTTCTCTTTCTTCCCTAGCGCGATCCTCGGAACCTTTCCACCCCCGGGAGCTTCCACACTAGACCGCGCTGCGCCGCAGCCACGCCGCTCCCTCTGCTCTTTCAACCCCTCGCTACGCTCTGTCCACGTTCCTCGCGGTGATAGAACCGAATCGGAGTAACGTGCGGCTCTTTTACGCCCCCCTAACCCCCTCGCAATCCGCCTGCGCTCTCTCTTTCTCTCCGACGAATGTTGAGCAGCGGGTCTCAACGAATCATGCCGGGAAAGGCAACGTACATCTCCACGACTTTGTTATAACCGCTGGAAACTACGTCTCTGGCTCTTTCTACTGGCTCGGGTCTCGCTCAATCGGGATCGTCGATTAGACGATCGATCGAATTTCTTCGGACTTCAGGGGTTTAATGCTCGCGGGCGCTCTGTTGCCATTCAGACGCGTTACCCGTGCCATCTTGTACGGTTACTCGGTACTTTAGGGTTATGTTTCCGGAAGCTTGAATGGACCGATGGAATAGAGGAAGTCGTATGGTAATTCAGCAGTTTCTCCAGGTTTCTTAAGATTTGGTGAGAACGAGTAAAAAGGGGAAAAGAGACGGCCAAAGGGGTGATAAGAGGCGACTGAATGTAGGAATTTGTACGATAATTCTCGGGATTTCTTTAATTTTAAGATGTGGTGAAAGTGAGAGAGGACAAGAGGCGATGGTAATAGCTGGTGATTGATAGTTTGTTACGTGACAACGATGGATGAGTACTACCATTCTTGCGATTGTTGGTGTCATTGTAGCGCTCGTAGGGAGACAGGCGACGAATCATTGGCGGTTAAGAATAATAACGAGAGGAAGGGCGAAAATAAAATAACGTTGCGCATTCCTATCGGCTCAATCGAATCTTTCGAGTGGAAGGAGAAAGAAACATGATAGCTAAAATGTTTTTCCTTCGGATGAATTCGTTGGATAACGTTGGAGAACATTTTCTTGAATACAATTTTCTAATGTAAATCGTGCATCGATACAAGATCGCGGCGCTTACCTTGAGAACCCGAGGATTTCGTAGATCGAAAAATCCTGGAGGAGACGTTATCTCGAAACGACGATTTCCCGGCGGAATCCTACGTGTAAAGAATTTCGATTATTAGATCCAGGGTTGATTGTAATCGTTGGATTGCTAACGAGAACCCTTCAGCGTAGGATGTACATATATCCGATCTGATTGGACTAAACTTACTGAACATCGATCGTAGTGACAAATAGTCTGTGACAGCACAGGATAGGCACGCCAATGATCATGAAAGCTTGCAGTAGTAGTAACGGGATTATCTGAAACGAAAAGAGAAAATGCGTCACCCGAGTTTCTCCTAAAACTCGGTAAAAGCAAATATCTTTGGAACCTATTAATTTTGGAACTATCGGTTCCTAATTATAATAATTTTCCTAATAATTCGATAGATTCACGACGGTGGATTTTTCAGAATTTGAATAATTTTGCTCTTACATTATTTCTTCACGTACTTTTAATTTTGATTTTTATGGTACAAATTTTACGCAATTGTAATGTTAGATGGATTCGTTGATCTTACCGATCGCTCGACTGCTTTCCATAACGATTTAAACGAAACGACGATGAGATTTAGTTTCTTTTCTTAAACGACGACTAATTTTAAACGAGAATTTCGCGGGCGACACCAGCTCGTCTCACAGAAAGCGCGAGCGGGCAGAAAAGTAGCAGGAGGGTCGATTCGGAACATTTTGACGCGTTTCAAGTACATATGTATACGTAGAATGTAAGGTACAAGTTACGCTTAATACCGCGCGACGCGTAAACACGTGCACGAAGAAGAAACGAGGGCCCAGCCGGTGGTTCGCGAGTCGGACAATAAACTGCCGCTGGGAAACCGTCGCGAGGAAAAGGTTTCTTTTTTCCATGCAACTCGCCTTACATCAGTAATTAAAATGTAACCTGCTGTTAATTACGTAACGACGTCGAGTTCCAGTTTTGGCCTTCTCGTTTCCTTTTTCACGCTATTATGGCCTGATTTAATCGTTCGCGATGTCAAACGAGATTTACATAGATTTATCCGAATGTAAGTTTGTATGAAAGAACGAGATTAATCGGAGAGAGTGTTGAGAATCGAAGCTTCCGGGTGTATCACTGTACGCTGCTAAAATGTCTTCTTTTATACGCTCGAGCTTTATGAACTAATAAAAGTTCTTTCCTTTGTTGGAAAGAACGCATCGTGATAAATACATAATAGCTAAAGTAATATTAAAGATAATTGTGCTTTCTTCACTAATAACTAAGTATGTATGAGAAATTTCAAGTCCCTTGCTGTGCAATTACCTAGTAATTTTGTATGTCAAACGTCACCTAAAAATGACGATTCTTACACCCTGAAAACTCGATTTCTGAAAATTCTGTTTTACCAAGCAACGAAAACCCGAAACCTCCGACTAAGATTAATCTCATGCCTTTTTCTCTTCTAATTTTTCTCCTTCTTTGTCTCCCTATCCTCCTTCATACTTTATATTTCTTCCGACGATAGAAATATCAACGAATAAAAGTCAAATGCAATGTCTAATCGACGACGAATACGATGTGTGTTTCAGCGCCGGCATGGAGGCAGCGAACGGTGCGATCGAACACGATTTTCACAATGCCCTGGTGCCTATAAACGGTAGCCATTCCGGCAGCTCCGGCAGGAGTACACCGAATGGCGGCGACCCGGCACCTGGCAAACTCTTCGTCGGTGGCTTGTCTTGGCAGACCAGCAGCGAGAAGCTCAGGGAATACTTTGGCATGTTCGGTACCGTCACCGATGTCCTGATCATGAAGGATCCGGTTACACAGGTCGGTTTACTCGATGGAAGCTCTCCGTCGGCTTGTCCATCTCAGTCGCTGGCCCGAAAGTTTCGTCGAGCTTCCACAATCAAAATCGTGATAATAGAATTTTGCCGAAATTATCAGATGTTTCCTGAAAACATCTCGCGTTTGAAAGATACCGTGAAAACGTAGAAAAGATGAAGAAGCTCGGGAACGGGCCACCGACGCGTTCAAATTCTTGTCCATTTCCTCCTCGATAGGTCAAACCGTTCGCATCGAAGGAAAAAGATTCGGGATCGGTAATGGGAAGGGGGTAAAAAGAAAAAAAAGAGAAAGAGAAAGAAAAAAAAGATGAAAACGCAATTCGCCTCGAGGAGATTCGATGCACCAGTTTCTTCCTTCCACTTTTGCACGAGACTTCACACAGTAGATCGTAGACAGAAAGTTGTACTAATCGATGTAACTAATTGCTGAGACAGTGTAAAGGAAGTAGAATCGTATTTTGGTATTTTACTGTATTAAAACATGTATTTAAAACTTGTAAAAGGTGGAAAAGAGGCAGAGGCTCGTTTCTAAAAGATACGTTCGCACGGGATTCGAGAGAAATCACGAACGAGGACTGTGGGCATAGATTATACATATATTACTCGTATTCGGTAGCGATGCAATTAACGACCGTAACTTCAGTTGATTCTTATCATATTTATTCGAAGTCCTTGTCTCACGTAATCCTAGAATGTTTGTCTTACATTGGCTTGGACAGTCTTGCATGTAAACGGTAGTTTGGTAGTAATTAGTTAACTGTACATAAAAGGAGATTTTATGGTACCTCTTTTACAATACAGAGTACGATATCGAGATAAACGAGACAGGATACTTTTTGGACGGAACGCGACGGTAATAAAAGAGTTTTCTCGTCACAAGCAAGTCTACTAAAAAACTGAACGATACGAAAATATTCGCGACGCGTTTGTAGCGCCGCGTGCATTTTATAAAAGTACAGGCGAAATCGACGTCTCGCCGGATTAGATCGACGGAAAAACGAAGCAATATCCATAGACTATAGGCAGGTTGTCGAATACAGTTAAAGAAAGGGACACTCGATATAGGAAGCAGCGAAAGCGTGCGTACAGAGACTGAGAGAGAGAGAGAGAGAGAGAGAGAGAGCGCGTGTGTGTGCGTGTGTGTAAGAGACAGAGAGAGAAAGAGAGAGAGAGAGAGAGACGGGGAAGTTGGAAGAGACGGTCGTTGTGCATCGTGGCCGTTCTGGCTTGTTCGGTTACAGCGTAGTCGCGGCTTCGGTTTCATCACGTTCGCCGAGCCCGGTAGCGTGGACAAGGTGCTGAAGTGTCCAATCCACACATTGGACGGGAAGAAGATCGACCCTAAACACGCGACGCCGAAGAACCGCGCGAAACAGGCGAATCGCACGAAGAAGATCTTTGTCGGCGGCGTGAGTCAGGACACTAGTAGCGACGAAGTGAAGGCCTACTTCAACCAGTTCGGCAAGGTGGAGGAAACGGTGATGCTGATGGATCAACAGACGAAGCGGCATCGTGGCTTCGGATTCGTCACGTTCGAGAATGAGGACGTGGTGGACCGCGTGTGCGAGATCCATTTCCATACGATCAAAAACAAGAAAGTCGAGTGCAAGAAGGCTCAGCCCAAGGAGGCGGTTCAACCAGGCGCGTTGACCCTCGGCAAGAGGGTGGTTTTG